AAAATATACATAAACTCTAAAACAAAAACATAGGACTATATACAAAAGCGAAATAGAATAGGCTATACAATAAAACTTAGAGCTGTACAAAAGATTAAAAATAGCGTAGTCCTAAAGTAAAACAAAATAACACGACTATACAGAAAGACACAAAAAAAAAGAAAAAAAATAGACCTATGCACAAAAAATGGAATATCCCTACATACAAAAGACAGTTCCAAAATATCGTAGGCCTACAAACAAGAAAAAATAATAATAACACAGAAAAAAACAGATACCTAAAGACACAAGAAAACAACAAAATAAACACACAAAACAAAAAGACAAAAATAAATGCAGAAAACACACTTACCTTCTCTTCAAACCCCTGGAATTCCAGGGAGACAGAAACATCATTTGCATACAGATAAAGTATAACAAGTGCTGTGTCAGCCGCGAACTCCCCCCCCCCCCCATCAAATTAACACTGGTTTTAAATTTAGTGACGTCATTATGCTACAATGCCCAGATATTGTATTGCCGTTTGTGCAGTGTCAGCTCGGCGGACTTTGTCAACGCTGAATGCAATATTGTAGGAGTGCATTATCATATTGTTGATGGCGTATCGATGGTGGAACGTATTTTAGTATATTGCTTTGCATCTGCGTGGATATATATGGAGGAAATGCTCCACCAGTGTTACCATATTTCGTGGTACCGGGCGTTTTTTGCTGTGGTTGTTGCCAGATAAAAGAGAAGTATTTGCTGTTTTGGTTACGTGTGTGGGTTTTCATGAGATGGTTTGTTTGTTTCTTTCGATGTGTGTTGTGTGTGTGTGTGTGTGTGTGTGTGTGTGTGTGTGTGTGTGTGTGTGTGTGTGTGTGTGTGTGTGTGTGTGTGTGTGTGTGTGTGTGTGTGTGTGTGTGTGTGTGGCTATTTGTTGCGGGCTGGGTACGTGTATGGACGGTGCTTGTGAACATTTGTGTACAGACAGATATAGATAAGACATCTTGTGTAATGTTTATGAACATATCAAGTCCATACATGAGCGTGTTTATACTATGTATATCAATATTCTTTTCTGTATACCTGTGTGTACACTATATTTTCTACATGTATCACCTTCAACTTTTAATTTCTCTGTATATACCTACTATGCACATTATGTTTTCTATGTGTATCACCTTCAACTTGCAAATCGCCATATACATTTTTTGACGTAAACAGTAATTGCCAATTCAGATTTAATGTAAACACCTTAACGAAAATCAACCCCTTCTTATCCCAGCATCTACACCTATTATAAGCCAACCCACACAAAAAAAAGACATCGTAAACCATTAAATACGTTATAAAGAGGACACGCTAACCGTCAAACGCGTTTAAAAATAGAGTACGTTATCGGAGTACGTTAAAGCGAGCGCGACCGTTATACGCCAAACAGTCGTTAATGATTGTTTGCATACGTTAGCGTTTGACGTCATTAGCATCAATTTGAGCAGATTCTGAACATGATTATGCAGATTGTGGGGTGACGCAATTGAGTCTAAGTGGCGACCTACGAAAGGGGAGGAAGGGAAGGGAAGGAGGATAGGGGGAGAGGGAAGGAGGGAGATGGAAAGAGAAAGGAAGAGAGGGAGGTAGGAGATAGAGAGGGAAGGAGGATGGGGGAGAGGGAAGGAGAGAGATGGAAAGAGAAAGGAAGAGAGGAGGTAGGAGAGGGAGGAGGATGGGGAGAGGGAAGGAGATAGGGGGAGAGGGAAGGAGGAGATGGAAAAGAGAAAGGAAGAGAGGGAGGTAGGAGATGGAGAGGGAAGGAGAGAAAGGGAAAGGAAAAGAGGGAGGTAGGAGATGGAGAGGGAAGGAGGAAGGGGAGGGAAGGAGAGAGATAGAAAGAAAGAGAGGTAGGAGATGAAGAGAGGAGGAAGGGAAGGAGGGAGAGGGAGAGGGAAGGAAAGAGAGGGAGGAAGGAGATGAAGAACGAAGGAGGAAGGGAAGGGAAGGAAGAGGTGACAGCGAGAGAGAGTTGTGCGGAAGAAAGGAATATTGTGAAAGAGAGAAAGAGAATTAGGGAGATGTAGAGAGTAGTGCCGGTAGAAAGAGAGATTATTGTGATAGAAAGAGAGAAAATTAGATAGACTGACAGACAGACAGAGAGAGAGAGAGAGAGAGATTCTCAGGAAATAGAGAGATGGAAAGGGAAAGAGAGAGAGATCAGTGACTTGAGTACGTGCTAAAGCCAGTACTCTGTATATTTTGTATCTTGATATTAAGTACACCATATATGTGTATTTGTCGCTGTATATGTGTGTCTTCTAAATGTGTGTCTATATATTTTACGCATGTTTACCTGTGTACATATGCATCTGCACCCATTTCACCCACCCAAGTCCATGCGGATGTATGTGAGTGTATCAAAACGTTAGTGCAAGGTTTACCAAGCCTGGGTGTATCCACGCTGCAATAACGAACACACGCGCGCATACCTGATCCCAAAGGTGCACAAATTTTATTTTTCCGCGAGATTTACCATAATCCTCTCCCCAACTCAGGTATCAGTGCAGCTTACTCTTGAGAGAAAGGCCGAGAGAGACACGGTGAGGGAGAGAAAGGAGGAGATGGGGAGAGAGGGAGATTGGGACGGTGAAGGAGGAAAGGAGGGAGGGAGATTGACACGGAGAAGGAGGGAAGGAGATTGAGACGGAGAAGGAGGGAGGGAGGGAGGGAGATTAACAGAGAGAGAGAGAGAGATTGAGACGGAGAAGGAGGGAGGGAGGGAGGGAGATTGACAAAGAGAGAGAGAGAGATTGAGACGGAGAAGGAGGGAGAGAGGGAAGGAGATTGACAGAGAGAGAGAGATTGAGGCGAAAGAGGGAGAGAGGGAGGGAGATTGACAGAGACAAGAGAGAGACAGAGTGAGTGAGATAGAGAGAGAGAGTGAAAGAGAAAGAGGGAGGGAGAGAGAGTGATTGAGAGAGATAGACAGAAAGGGAGAGACGAAGAGGGAAGAGAGAAGGAAGGGAAGGAAGAGAGAGAGAGGGGGAAGAAGGGAGGAAGGACAGAAAGGAGGGGAGAGAGATGGAGAGAACTGGAAAGCTAAGAGAGAAGGGGAATATTATTATTATTATTATTATTATATTATTCTTATTAATTATTATTATTAATCATTATCATTATTATCATTATTACATTATTAAATTAATAATGATAATCATAATGATAATAATAATAATAATAATAATAATATTATATTATATTATTATTATTATTATTATTATTATTATTATTATTATTATTATTATTATTATTATTATATTTATTATTATTATTATTAATATTATTATTATCATAATCATAATTCTTTATATCATTGATATTATCATCATCATCATCATTATTATTATTATCATCATCACCATTATTATCATTATTATCATTATCAATATCATTGTCATTATTTTCGTTAGTATTATTATCATTGCTATTATCTTAATAAGGATAATGAAGATAAAGATTATAGTGATAATAATGACAATAATAATGATGATAATAATGATAATACTAATGATAATACTAATGATAATAATAATAATGATAATAATAACGATAATAATCATAATGATAACAATAATACTGATAATAATACTGTTGATAATATTAATAGTAATAATGATGATAATGATATTAATGATAATGATAAGAAGAGAAAGAAAAAGAAGAAGAATAGTGATAATATTATTATTGATAAGGATAATAATAATGATAATGATGATAATAATAATAGTAATGATAATGATAATCATTATTATCATTATTATCATTATAACTAAAATGAGGAAGTGGAGAAGGAGAATGATAATTAACAAAAATAATCATAATACTTTTGAGGATGAATTGATAAAACTGATGATAGTAATTTCAAACACAAAAGTAGCAACAAGCATGATAATTATACAACAATAATTATAAGCCTAATAACACCACCAGGTCGCTTCGGTTCGGCATAGCAACAGCAATTGGGGCAAGACAAAGCTTCACGTCAAACAAATTGCAAAAGGAACAACGAAGGGAAGAACAAGAAGACACAAGAATACGCCGAAGGACTTTTCGCTCTCTATGCCCCGAAGAAGCGATACAACGAAAAAGCCTTCGGTATCTTCGTTTGTTTTCTTGTTCTTCCTTTCGTTCTTCCTTTTGCGAATTTAGTCTTCTTTTATCCCCCTCGTTACGGAGAGACGAAATTCCCGTAGCTTTTGGTTGCACGAACATGAAGGAAAAAAAGTGGAGGGACTTTTTTATTTCTCTTTGGTTGCACGAACATGAAGGAAAAAAAATGGAGGGACTTTTTTATTTCTCTTTGATCAGCGGAAAAAGAAAGAGAGGTGGGAAAAGTTGGTAAAACCGAGTGAACGTAGATAGGAAAATGGGGGTACAAGCAGTGAAGTGGGTAAACGCAGGTCGTGGGAGTTCTTGGTACCCTGAAGAAACGTGTTTATTTGTATCAGGTGAGTATCATTTCAAGATTACAGATTCGTTTTGTTTTTTGTCTGTTTGCTTGCTTTTGGTTTGTTTGTTTGTTTTTTTGGTTTGTTTTTGTTTCTTGTTTTCATGATTTTTGTCTTTTGCAGCCGATTTAAGCCCTTGATTCATTTTAGGGCGTCCTTCTAGTGTTCCCTTTCATCCAGATTTCATCCCGTCCTCTGATGCTTAGGTTAGACCTTAAATATCAAAGAAGGTATTTTGTATTATATATCAAATATCACGTGAATCAAGAGCTATGACATCTTTTTCCATGTATTTTTTCAGTATAAAAAGTTTATCGTTTTGTTATTATTCTGTAGCGTCTTTTATTGCTCGAATACTAAGAATATACATGCAGTGAAACGGTTCGGTCAAGTCTTAAAATCAAATTATAAAAATCTTTCCGTTTCAAACTACTAACAAACAACTTTCCGAAATTCTGAAAAGGACAAATCATGATAAATACTACGAAAAACAATTGAACTTACCTAGTGCATTCGTTAGGAATTCTCAAATGTCAGGATATTGAGCGTCAGACCATCTCGAAACTTCTCTAGACCATACTCCATTCTTTTAATTTTTATCACGTCTTGTTTATCCACATCTCGCTTCCTTCCTATGACAGGCAACTTATCGAAATATTCGTAAGCCATACACTCGAAAAATTCGTTAATATTTTACGCAAAAACTCTAAAAATATATATATAAATAACAAACGTCTATGGCCAGCTTTGCATGGGTGAAATCAGGTTATTTTTACTCAGTGATGTTCGGTACCATAGTGATCGATGGTTGTGACGTCATACCGAACAACCTGCTACCACAACAGAAGACAAATACCAACTCAAAGCTAGCCACACCATAGCTTCCCATCGAACAAGCTATGATGTCCCTAACTACTTCATAGAAACCACAAAATGATATTTTTATATCAT